CAGCAGCGGCGACATTGGGCATCCTTGCCTGGTACCACGCGCTAATGTAAATTCAGGGGATTTAAGACCATTAGTAATAACTCGCTGTGGGGGAGGAGTAAAGAATCCTTATCCATTTAATAAAAACATCACCCAAGTTAAATTTAGAGAGCACAGAGAATAAATATGACCATTCGACCCTGTCGAATGCCTTTTCAGCGTCTAATGAGATGACTAACCCAGAATTTGTATGCTGATTTGAATACTGAATTATATTAAGAAGCCTTCTAACATTATGAGCTGAAGATCTGCCTTTAACAAAGCCAGTCTGGTCAGGATTAATTATTGTGGGGAGTATTGATTCAAGCCGGATAGCTAATATCTTCGCTAACATTTTTGTATCCACATTAAGCAAAGAAACAGGGCGATACGATCCGCACTCCTCAGGGCATTTGCCTTTTTTCAGAAAAACACAAATGTTGGCTTCTGTCATGGAGCCAGGAAGCCTATTAGAATCAAATGAATACTGTATCATTTCATGCATTAAGCTCGCTAACTCCATTTTAAATTTCTGAAAGAATTCCACAGTAAACCCATCGGGCCCTGGTGCTTTTCCTTTGGGGAGACTGTTAATACAATTCAAAATTTCGCTGAGTTCAATTGGTTTGTTTAACGTCTGTCTTTGCTCCTCAGTTAATTCCCGTAATTTAAGTTTGCAAGGAATTTATTCATATTATCACCTGACGAAAAGCCCGATTGCGACGTGTAAAGCCTATTATAAAATGCCCTAAAAATGTTGTTAATTGCTTTGTTATCGTGATGGCACCTGCCTTCTTTATCTTTGATACTGGATATGACCTGCGCCTGAGACCGGCTCCGCAATAAGTTTGCTAGATATTTGTTAGGTTTGTTTGTGAATTCGTACATCCGCTGTCTAGCAAAGAATACAGCTTTTTCAGCTTTATTAGTGAGAATTGTTTCGAGAGAGGTTTTTACGGTTTCTATCTCGGCCAGGAGTACATCTGAGGGGCGCGTATTATATTTTGTTTGTAAATCATGGAGGATCATTTCTAATTTTCTCTGGTTTGCCAGCTGTTTTTTTTTCTGGTTGGATACATAGGAGATAATTAATCCCCTAATGTAAGCTTTTGCAGTGTCCCAAAGCAAATTGGGGGACACGTCTGGGGTTTTATTGTCCATAAGCAATAGTTTAACTTGATCTTTAAGGAAAGATTCAAATTTTGGGTCATGAACGAGCCATGGTTTGAATTTCCAAGAAGCTGGGTAAAATATTTGGTTGGATAGGCCTAACCTGAGAAAAACGGGAGCGTGATCCAAGATTACAATATTCCCAATATTGCAATTTATTACATTTTGAAGTGAAGTTTTGGGAGAGAAAAAATAGTCTATTCTGCTTCCAGTTTTATGGACTCTAGAGAAAAATGTGTATTCTCTGTCTCTGGGATGAAGAGCTCGCCAAACATCTACCAGGCCAATTTCTTCACATGTCTCATACAGAGCTTGAGCTCTGTTGGAAGGCCTATCATTAGATGGTGGAGATTTATCTAGCTTTGGTAGCAGTGTACAGTTAAAATCACCAGCGATTATACTGTGTTCACATTGCCATTCAGCGAACTTAGAAAAAACCTGTGTAATTATTTCGTTAGATTGAATAGGGGGGATATAAACATTCATAAGGGTAATGGGTTGTTCAGCTAGTGTAGCTTTAAGCAGGATAAACCGTCCTGATTTATCGGAGTATGTGTTAATATCTGATAGTGGTATGCATTTGTTTACAAGAATGACAACTCCCCTACATTTACTGGTGAATGACGAGCCATATACTTGTCCCACCAAGTCTCTCTTTAATTTGACGTGCTCACTGTCTGTTAGGTGCGTCTCCTGCAGAAATGCAATATGAATTTGTTCTTTTTTTAAATAGTTTAGAATCTTTTTCCTTTTTACTGGATTTTAAATGCCCTTTACATTCCAGCTGCATTTGTTTAGTATTGATTTATTCATTACCATAACCAAGGAGTAATCTGTTTAAGTCTGATATACATGAAGGGTGTACCCATAAAAGTTGCATAAATGGTGATGCCATGTATAGTATTGAGGAGAAGGAAAGGAGAAAAAAAAGAAAAGAAAAGAAAAGAAAAGAAAAGAAAGGAAAAAAGAAATGTGTTGCCCTGTATGTCGAACGGAAACCAGAACTATTTACAATTAACAGCTTACAAACATATTTAAGAATAGACAAGGGAAGTCTGACGCTGGTCAGTTTCACATTTGAGAGCAATAGCGATCGCCATTCTGTCTCCTTGGAAACATTACATGACCGAAGCTTAGATATAACAAACAAAAAAAGCGCGGTATTCAAAAAGAGCACCGCAAGGTTAGAAACCGTTGATATGATTCTCGGCAGTCTGCTGCGGCAGCAGCCTTCTATATATTAACGTTGTATTAATTCAGTCTTTAAGTCATACCATCGTTATATTCTCCTTAATATTTTTTTCCCCTTAATCATCTACCCCCTCAAACTCAGAACAATAACATATTACAAATATTGCTTAGTTGTTGTGTCCCAGGAATTAAGTCGTTGAACTCCTTAAAATATGAACGAAACATCAGTAGAAGTATGTCACAAAAACATGTCACTCAGCCTCTCAGGGGCGATTTGTACCTGGCGAAGTGGTGGTTGCCGGTTCGGGCAGACCGTGCAGAAAAGACTCTGCCTCCGCCGGCTGTTTGAAGAATTTTTTGCCGCCGTTGTGCTGTTGGCCTATTCGAAGAGTCGCTGGGTATATCATGGCAAAGCGAATTCCTCGTTCACGGAGTCGTTTCTTCACATTTCCAAAGGCTTGTCTTTTCCTCATGATGGCCGCAGAGAAGTCTTCAAAGATAGAGATGTTATGGCGTTTGTAGACCAGCTGACTCGCGGTTCTCACTGCCTGCAGAATGCGTGCCTTGTCTTGAAAATTATGTAGTTTTACCATAAGCGCTCTCGGTCGTTCTCCTGATGTGGGAAGACGTGAAGGGACACGATGCGCACGCTCTATCTTTACCTGATGATTCTTGAAGTCGGTGTTAAGCAGATTGGGCAGCCAGGTCCTGAGGAACGAGACCGGGTTAGTCCCCTCCTCCCCTTCAGGTAGGCCAATTATTCGGATATTGCATCGCCTGCTCCTGTTTTCTAGGTCGTCTATCTTTTCCAGGGCCGCGTCGAGCTTTTTTTTCACTTCATTCAAATCCGCGTTATCTCTTGAGACCGTGTCTTCCACCGCCGATATACGTGTTTCAGCTTCAGTGACTCGGTTTTCCACCTGCTTGACATGTGTCGCTACCGCTGACAATTTCTCTAACACTGGATCAATTTTATTCTCCAAAACTTTCTCGACGCCCACCAGGACCTCTGTTGTTATTTTCTTCACCAGTGCGTCCATGTCAATCGGATTCATTAGTGCATCCGCCATTTTCGGAGAGGAGCGAGTGCTGATATTCGATAATTTTCTGCTACGAAGTTTGTGACTGGAATCAAGTTGTTTCTTTGGCATGCCTTGTAACTTCTATATTTAAGTTCTGCACTTTCAGAGATGATATTGAGTCTAGAGGGGGAGATTTTGAAGGCTTTGCCGGAGCTCGACGTCAACACTGCTACTCCATTAGATGCGTCACGTGACCCCCCTGTCCAAACTTTATACTGGTACTGTACTATAATACACACAAAGAATATCGGCCGATATATATCTGTCTTTTTTTTACTCCCTAATATCGGTATCGGCCCCAAAACAACCATATCGGTCGGGCTCTAGTCATAACTGATCTTCCCATGAAAACAACAGACTTCTGTCTGGTGACACATGCAAGACTTTATCAATCATTTAGTCCGCTTAAACCCTGCAAAGTCACGGTCATCCGCCCACATCTCAACATCCAATCAAACAAAATGATACACGGAACCCCCGTTTTCTTTTTCAATCATCCATTACACTCTTAAAAGAAGAGATCCATTGCTACTTCCCTTTCTTGAGACTTTAAGCTTGTAGCAATTTTTAAACAACACCCACCTATCACTGAAAAGCCAGGGTCACTATGAAAATACCTTTCCGAACTCCATCCTTGCAGACAAGTATCTCTTTACACTGACTGTAGTGAATCTTCTCAGTGCAAGGCGTAAGAGACTTCAGATGTCTGGTTAGAGCTCCGGACTCTCTGAACGCCAGGCCACACTGATTGCAGCGGTACGGACGCTCATCTGCCAAAGGAAATGATGTCAAAATACTGGGAAAGACTTGCATAAAAACTTACACAGACACTAAATAACTTTCACAACTCAGTAGAGTTCAATAGAAGGACACTAAGTTTTACCTGTGTGCCGACGATTGTGTCGGATCAATGAACCCTTGGTCCTAAAAGCAGTCTGGCATATTTCACACTTAAAGTCCTTCTGATCGGTGTGCGTGAACATGTGGGCTCTCAGAATATTTGTCTATAAATAGATCAAACTTAGAACTGGAGTGAGTTTTCCTTGCATATTCGCTAGGGATGTAACGATTAACCGCGAGCTGGTTGAAAATCGATTCAAATATGTGACGATTCAAATCGGTTGAGATGCTAAACAAATCGCGATTCATTTAGGGGTAAGAGCTTATATGAATGCATGTCTGAGGGGAACTTACTGTCTTTAGAAAAGTTTAGATGGTATTTTTTCTTTTCTTCTTGCCTCTTTATAATGCATATTAAAGGGATAGCTCACCCAAAAATGAAAATTTGATGTTTATCTGCTTACCCCCAGGGCATCCAAGATGTAGGTGGCTTTGTTTCTTCAGTAGAACACATTTGATTATTTTTAACTCCAGCCGTTGCAGTCTATCAGTCGTATAATGCATGGCAATGGTAACAAAATCTATGAGAGTAAAAAAAACATGCACAGACAAATCCAAATTAAACCCCGCGGCTCGTGACGACACATTGATGTCCTAAGACACGAAACGATCAGTTTGTTCCAGAAACCGAACAGTATTTATATAATTTTTTATCTCTAATACACCACTATGTCCAACTGTCTTTGGGCGCGTGCGCACGGCATCCGGTGCGTGAGGTGTGTACGCGCTCTGGCGTAGTTTACGCAAGCGTCGGAAGTGATCTCTCGCGCGTATACATCCCTCATTGTTTACACAGTCATTGTAGGTACGACGGCTAATCAAAATGGTACTTACTTGCGCTTATCCGGATTGTTCAAACCGACTTAAAACTAAAAGATTACGTTCTCTCGCGTGAACTCATTCGGGAGTGGTGACTTTCCACGTATTCCCAACTTCTGAGCCTGCTCGCCTGAAGTTATGGTTGATTGCTCTTCGGCTGGATATCAACACACCCATTAACGTAAACTACGCCAGAGCGCGTACACACCTCACGCACCGGGTGCCGTGCGCGCGCCCAAAGACAGTTGGACATAGTGGTGTATTAGAGGTAAAAAATGATATAAATACTGTTCGGTTTCTGGCACAAACCGATCATTTCGTGTCTTAGGACATCAATGTGTCGTCACGAGCCGCGGGGTTTAATTTGGATTTGTCTGTGCATGTTTTTTTTTGCTCTCATAGGTTTTGTTACCATTGCCATGCATTATACTACTGATAGACTGCAACGGTTGGAGTTAAAAATCATCATATGTGTTCTACTGAAGAAACAAAGTCACCTACATCTTGGATGCCCTGAGGGTAAGCAGATAAACATCACATTTTCATTTTTGGGTGAACTATCCCTTTAAAGTTCATAAGTGCAGCACTGCTTTGTTTACAGCACAAACCAAGGAAACGCTTTAAGCGCCACCTGCTGGCAGAGAGTGAATCTGCGTCTCATTCAGCTGTCTGCTGTTTCAGTTTCATGCAGATATTTGTATGAATAGTTTCACAAAACGGAAGTCAAACCATTCTGTTTTTGCTATGTTATCATACAACTACTATTATAGATTAATGAAATATTATAAATATACTATTTTCTATTCATCTTTTGGATTAGCTTTTCCTTTTATATTTTCTGTTTCCATTATGACTTTTTGTATTACTATAAATTATACTTATTAATAATAATCATTTCATTTATTACTAAATACGTAAAATGCCTTTTACAAAGACAAAGCAACTATCCATAAATATTTAAAAAGTAATTTCGGTCACAGTATGCTATTAAACTAAATATGTAATTTGAGGTGCAAACGACTTTGATGTGGAAACTGTGTTTCCAGAGAGTTAGCGTCTGCTAAATGACTAAATGTAAATGTAAAAGTAAAATGCACAAGGCCAAAAAGTGTCCATACGTGAATAAACACCTGTCATCTGAGAGGGAACACACAAATATTGCTCTCCCTTCAGTTTGACAGATCAGGCATACTGCAAAAGCATCCGCGTAACGCGAGACAAAATGAAACAAACTAATATTTACCAATCTAAAATAATCACATTTTCCCACAGTTTGTGGCATCAATTTTGCATCCAATATTTTAAGATAAAAAATAAATGCATAAAATATACATGTTAACATTTTAAAATGTTAAATATTATTATTTAATAAATTATAATGGTATCTAAATTAATGTTATCATACAACTACTATTATAGATTAATGAAATATTATAAATATACTATTTTCTATTCATCTTTTGGATTAGCTTTTCCTTTTATATTTTCTGTTTCCATTATGACTTTTTGTATTACTATAAATTATACTTATTAATAATAATCATTTCATTTATTACTAAATACGTAAAATGCCTTTTACAAAGACAAAGCAATTATCCATAAATATTTAAAAAGTCATTTCGGTCACAGTATGCTATTAAACTAAATATGTAATTTGAGGTGCAAACGACTTTGATGTGGAAACTGTGTTTCCAGAGAGTTAGCGTCTGCTAAATGACTAAATGTAAATGTAAAAGTTAAATGCACAGGGCCAAAAAGTGTCCATACGTGAATAAACACCTAAATCCTGCTGCCGTGCGGTTTTAACATCAGACAGTCTTGGTGTTGTGAGATACAGACCGATGCTAAGCACTAAGCAGCATTAGCAGCAGCCTAAACATGTTTGTCAAAAACAACACTGCGGCTAATGGAGACTCTGCTAGCGTGACTGAACGAGCCAAAGTCAGGCCCACACATTTAATCGTGTCCCAGCGCACTGTTTAGCGTCTACCTTCGTCTCCGAGTGTGGTTTGGATGGTGATGATGTTGCTATGCTCCGTTTGGTCGGTAACTGTTGATGCCGTATTATTATTTTCTTCAGTCATGTCGCTCCAGACCTCCGTCTCTGTCGCAACGCTTCAGCAGGGAAAACATGGCGGATTTACGACCTCGTAGCCATAACAACTAAAGGGCGGCGAGGGGAGGGAGAACGAGCACGTCCTAATAGAATCAAAATAAAGGCGCGCTCATCTTCTCCAGTCAAATCGGTTCTTTCGAACGGTTCGTTTCAAAGAGTCGGTTCAGCGATTGGCATCCATAATCTAAAAACACTATTTATAAGCAGTGCCGGGGGTAACGCATTACAAGTAACGCGAGTTACGTAATCAGATTACTTTTTTCAAGTAACTAGTAAAGTAACGCATTACTTTTTAATTTACAAGAGAATATCCCAGTTACTTTTTCAAATAAGTTACGCAAAAAACTTTCCATTGTATTGACTGACGGCTCTCCTGTCCCCATGCTGAGAGAAATCAGATGTTACTGTAGTTCTAAAATAAATATGAATATGCATTAATTCATCTCAATCACACACACACACAAACACAGATTCAGTATTCCTCAAAATGAATAAAAATAATGCAACTCCGAATATGACGCAAACCTGCAATAATTAAATGTTAAACAACACAAATATGCTTTATGTATTTAATCCCATTCTATTAACCAATGTCTTTGCTTCTGTTCTGTTCAATCATACTAATAAGCACAAATTACTCTAGACGAACATTTGTGTCTTTTTTTATTGCTGAAGTGTGTTGAAATGTCTTCTGCATTCTACTGTACGGACGTAAATTTACTTTCCCTTCAGCCTGAGGTTCATTCATTTCACTTTTGGTGTGAAAAGGCTTTTACATTTGCCAAAAATAGAACTTTTTTATTTTAAAAACAAACAAGCAAGCCCTGTCCAGATTTAAAAAGTAGCGCAAAAGTAACGTAACGCATTACTTTCCATTAAAAAGTAACTAAGTACCGTAATTAGTTACTTTTTAATGGAGTAACGCAATATTGTAATGCATTACTTTTAAAAGTAACTTTCCCCAACACTGTTTATAACGCATATTATTTTATTCTAGTTTTATGTTTTAAAGGTAATTTCACGTGTTCCAGAATTAGTTTGTGTAGCTATCTCTTTTAAAACGATGAGGGATCTTAACAGTTACAACAGTAAACGTACTAGAAATATTTACGACTTGATTATAGTTTTATCAAGCACAAATGAAACAGAGATGGTTTTAATAAAAATGAGTAGTTTGTAAATCTTGCAACGGCCGAACACGAATCGGACTGGTTTTGTGAACTGAACTAATGGAATGTAATACTGAAAGCATAGAAACCGTCAAAGATTTTGCAATAATAAACAGTGAAAACAGTACAAAATACATTCCCCAATTTTTTTAATTTTAGGTTGTAAACACACACACAAAGAAATTAAATCCAGCAAATTATGTTGCCTTATTGGCATTGTGATATAGGCTGTAAATGTAACATAAGCTCCATAACCAGCAGGTTTCCAGTTTGAATGTTTTCTGAGGTAAATGCTTCTACGGCTAATTTAGAACTATATGTGTAATAGTGATGAAACACTAAAGATACTTTATTCGAGGCTCTCAATTGTAACATGAGTCCACATTCTGCCTTTGTACAAAATTGCACAATATTTCTGCTCCTCAAACTGCACAAAATGTACAAAATACATTTTGCATGTCAAAGGCATGAAGTTTGGTCACGTTCCATCCCTAGACATTTACATTGAAAAAAATAAACATTAGCTGTACCAGTGTAACTGCAAAGGTAAATCATTTTCATAATTTTGAGTCAACTCAAATACAGATGAAATAAATGCATTGATAGTGAGTCCACTTCTTCAAGAAGTGCATACCCAGTGTAATGAGAGAACTTTTATGCAACTTTTCATAGTATTGTCATCACTTCCAGCAAAGCCTTCAGGAAACAAGCAAGATCCCTGAGGAAGTTTGAATGCCACATTTTGGAATGTCTTTCCTGTTGTCCGCTTGTCTGTTTCACCTCTTTTTTAAAGGATCAACCTTTGGCTGTCCATTGAGTTTAATGATTCGTTCTGCATCGACCACCATTCCATGAAGTCTTTCTATGTGTTCGTTGACGTTCTCCTCCAACCACTCCTCTAAAGTGTCTGGGTAGAAGATTGCCTCCATATTTTGCCGGAAAGTCAGTAAAAAGGAATCCCATTCATCCATCAATCTGACAAGAGGGAAAAAAGCTAAATATTAGGTTTATAATAATCACCTACACCTGCAAACATTCAATGTTTGGGCCTGTGTTATTTAAGCATCATTAATAAACTATT